TCTCTCATCGATAGAAGCTTTACTCCGACGTTATTCAGCCCTTAAATCACTACACGGCCCGTTCACTACACCAAAGTGGTTAACATCGTTTTTTGAAATCTTTGAAATTTCTGTGCCAAAATATTTGACTGACGCCTATCTCGTATAATTTCGATTTCGAATAATCGATTTCGCAGCTCGTACACGTACCTTTTTCTTCCACCGCGAGAGAAACGCTCGTACGGTTACCAATTTTGAACGGTCGTCGACGAAGTTATTAATAAAATTATCGAGGGCGTGGGACGTGGTGATTTATTGATCAGCAGGAAGTGCACGGTACGCAGTCGAAAGCACATACCGTGCATTCCTGCAGGTATACTAGAAATCCATTATTACGTGGTAACATCTCGGTTTCTCGGCTTTCGATTTGCCATCTCTTCGATATTACTCGATCGACATAAAGAACGAACACCGATGAACGGCGCGCGTGGATGAACGTGTGTGACGAAGTTAGGTTTCTAAGCGTGTGAAGGCTTTTTAAATGAGATAATGCGCAATGCATGTATACGTTCTTGGGTTAAAACCGCCTTCGGTTCTGCTTCTAATGGTCTAACAGTAGCAACTATGGGCTATATGCGGTAACGTGGCTAACTCAATCACGGTTATGGATGTACGATGGACACGACATTGTAGGTGACACGATATCGGCTTTCGTGGCCGAACCGTTTCCTCAGTTATGTGTATTATAGGCAACCCCTGCGAAAATTTACATCGTGTGTCTACGTTGTCTTTCTTGTTCGCTGACCCGATAGCTTTGACTCGCACGTCTCTCTTTAGAACGCCTCTTCGATCGATCGTATTGCATTCATTGCTAAAAGAGCGACGTGCATCGCCAGTCGAATATTAATTTGCTTTGTTCCTGGTGAGAATTTTTTCTCATTTTTCTCCTATGCTCGTAAAAGTGTATCTTCGTTCGTTGTATTGATAATGGCATTTCGATGGGAATGTAAATTGAATCGAGATTGTCGAATGTATAGAGACATCGTCGAATAAGATCGGTTTGCTTTCGCCTTTTCAATGGATCTCTTTTCTTCGTACACTGGTGAAGATATGCCGACGAACATTTTCGGTTGAATCGGGTAGAACTGAAATATAGCTTCAATTGCAAACATATCGGATTGATGTACGAATTGTTATTGTTATTTATTCAATTCTTGTCTTTCGGCTTTGAATGGCTTCCGGTAGCCAACCTTAGAAAAATACCCAGCCTGTGAATTATTATCAGTGAACGTGGATGGTAGAACTAAAATACAGTTTCAGTTGCAAACATATAACAAACCTGGTATTGATTTACATTGTGTTTTGGCCAAATATTTTTTCTTTACGCGTTGGCGAAGATTCGGGACTTTCGATAAACGTCTTAAGTGAAGTCGAGTCAATTCGATTTATAGATTAATCTGTGAATTATTACTCGAAACGTAGGACAGAAATATGGTTGCGATAACAAACGTACCGCGAATCTGACGTTTATTCGTCTATTTTATTAGGCAAATTATTTGCACATCGAATAGGATAGAAGATATTTCGACGAATATTTTGACTTGACCCGACTTCATTCAGCTTATGGAGAATCCACGGATCATTAATAGGAAACGCGAGCGACAGAGTCGAGATGTGGTTTCGATTACAGATGTATCGCGTTCGAGTATTCGTGGTTACACGCCAGGTGCTGGCACACGTTGTTTCTCACTGTTTGCCGATCAGAATCCACGTGCAAGTCCGATTTATCGTGCGAGTGATTTTAGCGGTGCAAGTGGAATATCGGATCATTGTCTATGCATGCCTCGATATACATAAAGAGGTACTCGACATAATATGTCGTTCTCTTATGATTTACATAGCAATGCAGCATACCGAGTGTCACTTTTTTTTTGTTTTTAACGAGAATGAAATATAATTTCGAATCTTCACTTTGTCGTTTGGCTTGGATGCTACATCGCGCAGACAATTGATTTGTAGCTAGTTGCGAGTTTCACGTTTTCCACACTTTGAATATTTGCCACAGCCGGTAGATGCTACCAGTAGTTTCCCGCTATTTTAGATCTCTTTGATTTATGATACCGGGAATATTTATCGTCAGATGATGATTTATTTTATAAGATGCATGTCGCACGATAGCAAATCGTATCCGACTGGGAATTTTATTATTTTTCATCCGTGACTAATTGAAATTTACATACATCATTCTAAGATAAACAGCAAAATTCTTACTTTCTGTAATCATAGTAATTAATAGTGTGATAAAAATTGATTTACAATCTAATCAAATAATACAGGATATGTCAAGATTATATTAGCGCTTATAAACGGGAAACACATTTACATTCTTTTTATCGAACATAGCGAAGTGACATTATCAATAATATAATAGCACAGATTTAAAATTCTAATTGAAATTTGTGCGGTTCGATAGAAAGATACGGAAATAAAGCAATGTACGTAACACAAATATCATTATTATTTAAAATAATTTTTCTAATATCCTCCTAATGAAACAAAATAAGGAAGCAGCTATATTATAATATTATAAAATCTAAAGACATTCAATGATTAATACATCGAAATAAGAATATATTTCACGCGAAACGAATGGTTTTACCTTATACGAATCTTGTCAGCCTTTGCGGCTACGTTCTATAGGGAACGCATTAGCCTTCGAGGTAGTTAAAAGAGCTTACGTTTGCGGATGAAAGAAGCCTAAATGCAATCTCGTTAGCAAACTATGTATTCTATTAGTGACGAACAACAAGCGATGTGGTTAGTTACGGATAGCCGGGCTGACACTGAAAGGGATGTAATCAACCCTCCTTGTAACAACTTTCTTCTGTCAACCATAAAAGCGGCCTTTGTAATTAATCGTTATTTGGACAGGAAGCGTTATTTTTCCTCTTGATGTTTTACAGTAACCGTTCACCGTGGAATCCAACGTTTCAGTGCTTCGTTGATGCAAGATTCCGCGATCAATATGTACCTTCGTTTCTGTTCAGCTTGTAAACGCGCTTTTGTCATGGTAAAATAATGCTCGATTCCGTTTTCATTCTCTGGTCGAATCTATTCTTGCCTGTCTGTATTTTCCGTGACAGACTATGCTCAAATAGGTATACGGTCTTTACTGTCAACGTGAAAAATGTATTTTTAGTTAGAAATAAGAAAATTGGATTTATCGAAGGGATAATATTCTTCAAGATATTTTCCAAGTCGATTATTTCATTAGGATTTTTTAAATTCGGACATTAATTTGAATTGAATTCACTACGGTAATTCATTAATTTTTTGTACGTAAATCCGGTCGTTGATGTAATCGTAGGGAAAATCTGTTAGATCTCTTTCCTTCAACTTTTTCCTTTTATTCGGAAATATCTTAAACATCCGATTTAGAGACCGCTTTTACAATGAGTCGTTCATAAGTATGCTGGAACCTTTCCAAATCTTTTGAAAGTACAAAGCAATAAAAAGTTAGACTTGCATATGAATGACCTAGTTTACTTGCAGACTATGGAGAAGTGTGTTTGTCTAGCGAATGGCACGTATTATTCAAAAGTTACCGAAGAAAGAAAAGTAAAACGTAAAATAAATATCCCCCTGTTCTAACAATTTTTCCTGCAAAAATATTTATCTGGGACAACTTTAAAAAAGGTTCTAAAAAAAAACATACTTGTTAGCTACGTTCTGCGATGTGCAATTAAAAGACTATAAAATTATTTCCTCTTTTTCCATATTAATCCCAACACCGCATCATTTAAAGGAGAAATATTATATTCAGAATATTATTTTACTTTAAACTGCGCCAAATTTCAACTCCAAAAATAAAAACTTATTGATTTGCAATTATTCGATGACGCTTCATTTTATATAAAACTTCTACTGCTTTCGTGCGTTCCATTTTTGTCATCATGTATTGTGTTTCCTTGTGCAGAGTGATTTATGGCTATTTTGGTCCACACAGCCATCGTATATCACCATTCACTGTTGCAAAAGTTTTCTGATCTTTTCAGGAAAGGAACAACAGTGTAATTTGTTAGACTTTAAACCGCTCACCCCACAGGGTAGAAAATATTGCTCCGCTGCAAGTGCACTTGTTTCAACGCGCGACAGCATTGTACGATGACAACGATACGCCGATATTTCGACAGATGAAAGTTCGTCGACGCTGCGTAGCTTTAAAGCTCCCGGGCAAGACTGGGTCTGCCCCAATATCGATCTGCACGTTGCTTTCGTTCTGGCTGGACCACACTTATTTCGCGATTGTCTCCTATATTATGTTGTTAACCCCGAGGCGTTGCCATCAAAAGACAATCTCGCGGTTTAGTTGTTTTAGAGCTCTCGCCACTTTGTGTCGAGTTTAAGAGAAGTTTAAATCGAGTTTAACTCAAAGAGTATCGGGTAGGATACAGTTTTTGTAATATTTATTCAGAAATTAATTCTAAGCTTTATAGTAGATTATTTGATACGAAATAAGAGGAAAGTAAGTTTAACATAAACTAAAATACGGGGAGACTGTAAGATCTTTAAACAGAAATGAGAGCTTTGACTTATTAACGAGTAACGTATTGTCCACGCAACGTTCGATTCGCAATTTCTTTTAATCAAATTAAATTATCGAATTTTGTCGTTTTAAATTGCGACTGTAAAAGGAAATTCTAAAAAATTGTCTTTAATAGTTTTTTCGTCATTTCACCTAGATCCTGTAATTTTTTATATGTCTACTTTATATTTTTTTATATGTTTATTACTCTCATGTACTTATATTTTTTTACACTTCAATAAAATCAAATATGAATCAATAAAATCAGATTCAATAGTCATATTTGACGCGATATTTTATTACTTTTAGCATTTAATCGGTTGAATTTAATACCAAGTTGGATTTTTAACGCTCGTTTTGACCACTCGCAGTTTTTAAATAAATGCAAAGAAAATTTAATATTTACACAGATTCTTTCATTCTAATTATTTTCCAGGTTGGTGGACGATAGATGCGTGGTATGTCCCGAGGCTGGAGATTTATCGAATCCACCCAAGAAGTTCCGAGGTAAATCAGCAAAAATTATCATCGACGATTATCGTAGAAATAAAAGATCAGTCAGTAATTTAATCGATCGTTTCTAAAACGAGCTCTCCATTCCTTTAACCAAACTTTACACTCGTATGTTTTTCATCCGATTAACGTGTCGCTGGTCTTCTGCGTAATTTTTAGATTGCCTGTTCAAAATATGCCCTATGAACCGTTACTCCGCCCAAAAACAATTTTGGAAGGCAGCAAAGCAAAGCGCTAGCGGCACCGACGCCGTGCTTTTGAAAAGATTGCACGTGAGTTTGAAAGTCTCATGAAACTTTTACGCTATTTCATCTAACAATTGAAGTTTGAATTAATGAATTAATTATATTTTATACTATTAAATAAATCATTTTAATCGTGATTAACGTGTCGATCAATTTCTAGCATGCCGCCGAGATAGAAAAGAAACAAAACGAGACTGAAAACAAGAAACTGCTTGGCAGCGTGGTCTCCTACGGTAATGTGGTGCAGGTGAGAAAGAATCAAAGCTACCATGTTTTGTTTCTCTAATATTTCTCTATATTTTTATATTGTCCCCGTTATACAAACTAAATCAATTTACCTTGCGCTACACGCTTCAAAAGCTCAGCTTTTGCTTTAGAACTCAAGGACAGAATTCTCTTTTATACAGACGCTTCACTTACCATTTCTATACTAATGAAAATATTAAATAATACCTTTTGAATGAAACGACCCGATAATACCCTGTTTCTTTCCCTTTAACCCTCTCAGAATTAACTGGATAACACGCTCCAAGGTAGCTTTTACAAAGACTGTGTTGTGGGCTGTTATATTCTTCCGTCGCGAAGATTTATGGGGACACAGGATCTCATTATAAATGGAGCTATATATCCTACGTAATACATTATGGTCAACCTACCTTTTTCATAATTTAAGCGATTTACCGTCCGTGATATTATTTTACAAAGTTCATCGCGAGAAGAAGAAGAAGAATGTATCTGCATTCTGAAGAATGCCTGCATTGTACTCCTATTATTATATTATAGCATTTAAACGCACAATGGTATTTTGTCGAAAGAAAAATAAGTTTAAAAGAAATAAATGCAAAATCTCGAGCTTTCTCTCTACATTTTCATTCTTCGTGCTTGACCTATTTCTTTTATTATGCTCCGTGTTATTATGTTATTGCGTTCAGTGTTGAAAAAAGACAGTTAATTTAATTCCGACTCGTTCCTTGAAATTTTTATTCTCCGTGTTTAATCAATTTCCTTCGAATTTAAACGTACTATACCTGCTCCGTATTATTATATTTTTTTTGTTAATGTATTCTATTAGTATATTTTAAGAAATATTCGCCTTTATAAAGCGTTAATGTAAAATTTCGCATCTCTTTATACATTTTTTTTCAAATTTAAGTGTATCATACTCCATACTATCGTATTATCGCTTTCATTATTATACGAAAAATACACCTCGAAAGTGTTAGCATAAATGCTCACTACCTTACTTGCTTCTTTTTATTTCTTATTATCAAATATCATAGGCTAATGATATTTCGCCATTTTCCTTCTGCGTGTTGTCGACTTATCGCGAGAAAGAAAAAAAAAAAAAAAAAAAAAAAA